TCTCTCTCCCCCCCCCCACACACACACATCCCTGCAAAAAAACAAAACCCTGAGCCATAGCAAACCGAACAGGGCACTTTTTTCTTTCTACTGAAGTCACATGAAAGGAGTCGTCGCTGTGTTTTGATCCACTGCGCTGTTAACTTGCATTTTCACTGAGTCTATAACCAGTGAGACTAAGCACTTCGGGTGTCGGTGGCCTTTTCCGTCGTGGGACAGCAGGGGGCATCTTTCGGGCCCTGGAAAGCGCAGTGGGGCCAGTGGAGGCAGGAGCAGCCCTGGGCAGTCGCTGCAGCAGACGGGTCCCCCGCCGGCCCCATCCCCAGGGCACCTAAGCGCCTTTGCCGCCCAGATTACAGCAGTTCAGACGCAGCAACGCAGCCTAATCCCCAGGGCTGCGCCCGGGCAGGGGCAGGCGGGCTGGCCCAGCTTCCCTGGTGACAAGAAAGCACAGGGGAGACCCTGGAAGTCTGGGCCCAGGGCAGAGCCCTCAGTAGCCACAGTCCCCCAGGTGTGTCACCTTCCTGGAGGATGGGCCTTGAAGGCCAAGGACACGCCTGTGAAAACCCGCCTTCCCCTAACATTGTCCTTAGGAGGTGGGGGGGCGGGGACGGGCTCGCCAGCACATACCTTCTACCTGTGGACACACAGCGGTGAATGAAGGGGCTACAGGGGATACTCGCACCTCCAGGGCACAGGGTGAAGCACATCGTGACTGTCACTGAACCCGGTCGCCCGTCCTGACAAGCGGCGTGAGTGTCCGAGCCTGCCGGGGGGAGGCGCGTGCTGGCGGCCCCGCATCCGAGGTCAGCTCGGCTTTGTGAAGCAGGACGTGGCCAGGGGCCCGGGCAGGAAGGAGGCGCAGGTAGACATCGTCTGCAGAGGCCAAGCACTTGATCTCTGGACTGACGGTGTCTGGGGGCACAGGGGAGCCTGGTTTCAGAGGCTTCAGGCTACTTCTGTGACCAGCGGCAGGGCCACCAGCAGCACCTGCCCTTTCCGGCGGCCGGCCCTCGGAAAAAGGGAGCCCACCTCCCTGGCGCCCAGCGGCCAGGACTGTCGCCTGACCTACATTTCATGACCCCTGGCTCTGCCTCCGAGCATGAAAGCCCTGGGGCGCTATGGTCCTGCGTCTCAGGCTGGCCCAGGGTCAGTGCTGGACAAGTGACCGTCACCCAGAAGGGGTGCAGATCAGTATCTGCCCGAGACAAGCCTCCCCTCCTCCCCCTCGGGCAGGGCTCCCATACACACGACCACAAGGCCCTGGAAGCCCACCCAGCCCTGCCTTGGCCTCCGAAACCGCACCCACTGTGTCATCAGAGAACCGGGTCCACTTCTGTCCCACAGCCGGAGGCCGGCGCAGGTCCAGGTGCCCAAACAAGCACGTGGTTCCTTCTCACTTAAATTAAAAATGCAATAGAGTCCCCAGCAGGAGAGAGACATGTCCCACAACCTCGGGGACCAGCTTGGCTGGAGGAGGTTCCTGAGGAGGGGACCGAGAGAGTCCAGTCTCCGGGAGGAGGTGACAGAAGCGGCCGATTTGGAGGGGGGCTTGAGGAAGAGGGGCCCTGGCAGCTGGACCGGAGTGGCCGGGAAGAAGGTAACCCTGCAGGCCGGTGGGCAGAGTCCAGGCCTGAGAGGCCGGGGACAAGGGCCTGGGATGACAGGGTCCAGCATTTCTGGACACCGAGCCTTCACGAAGGGGGGGTGAGGAAACACACCTGAGCCAGAGTGAGAAGGGGAAGGAGATGGCGAATCTTAACAAAGTGTCACCAAGACGCTGGACGGACGTTCTAGCTCGAGAAAGCCATCACGCCCCGTCCCAAACCCCTACAGGTTGCCGTTATGATGAGAGAATTTAAGCCGCTTTGTCATCAAGACACACACTGCGCTCTTCGGTGCTGAGATATAAAAACGGCTGGGCTTTCTTTCCCGGGGAAAAACCAGACACTCCCGCAGAGTAAATGGCAATCAGGCCGAATGGCAGCAATTCCCACCGCGGGCATGCCGTTACCCTGGGTCGTGACGGTCGTTACACCGCAAAGACCTGCCCCGGGAGTGCAGTTCGCATCCACAAGCCTTGCTACCCTGGCATCCAAAACCTGACTTTTTTAAAATATGATTTTATTGATTTTTTAGAGAGAGAGAGAGAAAGAGAAACATCCATGAGGAGAGTCACCGATCGGCTGCCTCCTGCACGCGCCCTGCTGGGGATCGAGCCTGCACCCCGGGCCTGTGCCGACCGGGCATCGAACCAGCGACCTCTCGGTGCCCGGGGCAGTGCTCAACAACTGAGCCACACCGGCCAGGGCAAAACCTGACTTTTTTGGATTATGCAGCAACTGCACACAATTCGGCCTGTAGCTGGACCTACCCTAAAGCGTCTGCGAGCCGGCCTCACACACGGGCCCAGGAGGTGCATCCAAGGCTGGGCCAGGAAGGTGCATTTGTACCAAGGAGCTGGGGGGGGGACACACCTGGTTTGAAGACCTTCATTGTAGAAACACACAAGGATGAGATGAGGTAATTCCAGGGGAAAACAGAAGCAGCAGCCCTTGCAAGTTCGTTTCATTTCACTCCCAAACGGGAGGCCGCATAAACATTCCCCGCAAATAAACGGAAAAGGCGTCACAAATCCGTCCTTAAGTTTTTTTACTCTCCGAATATATTACAATTCTTCGGCTAAAACGGGAGCAAATGAGACAAAATGGTTCCGCAAAGTCCGATAGAAAAATACTGTTCACTGGTTTATTTTTCCAAATGAGCAACAGGCTATTTACAAATAAGCGGATCTCCAATGACCGATATTAAAATGGCGAGGCTACGACTGCTCAAAATCTAAATTAAAAAAAAAAAAAAAAAAAATGGCAGCAAGAGCCTTAAGGATCAACACAGGGCTATATACAAAATTTATACTCAATAAATAATAAGTAAAAACGTCAAATGATCTAGGCCCAAGTTAACAGTCTCCAGACACAAGAGGGTCAGCAGGTGAGAAAANACTTTTGTCCCTAAAACGCGTGAGCACCAAAATTTGTCAAGAACACTTGATATTTGGGAAAACGGGATGGAATGTGGGAAGGGGCGGGGGGGAAGCATTTTCGGGAGGAAATCTTTGGAGATCAGTTTACTGCAAATAAAACCCACTAAACGCATCCCGATACACATAAATACTAACGCCCGACGGGTACTGGAGAAGTGGCAGCGCTCTAATCAATGCGTAGCAAATAAATTAAAGGTATTTCAGATACAAAGGTAAAAAAAAAAAAAAAAAAAAAAA